CACACACACACTGCTGTTGGTGGTGTACTGGTCATCAGCTGCTCTGCTGGATGAGCTCAGGTCAGTCATCATGTGTTCTTCACTGCAGTGAATCAGCAGAGACTCCTCAGATCAGGTCAGCTTGTGTCTCTGTATTGATCAGATAATTTGGTCTGTCGGTTTCACATTTAGTTTTGCCCTTTTTTAATCACATGATCTGGTTGTACATATAAACACACATAATTAATTACACAGTGTACATATGAAAACACACTGACTTGTCCAGTGACTCATCTAATTAGCATAATTAAGTCTGTAAATTGAACTTTAAGCTGAATACAAAATAACGAGTAGAGGTATTAATAAGATAATAACACTCGCCACACGCAAACATAGTGTTATACTGTATCTGAAATCTACAGTCGCTAAGGTAACACAACAACTATAGTAATTGATCTCTTGCTGTGATTCTACAGACGCTATGGTAACACAACAACTATAGTAATTGATCTGTTGCGGTGATTCTACAGTCGCTATGGTAACACAACAACTATAGTAACTGATCTGTTGCGGTGATTCTACAGTCGCTATAGTAACACAACAACTATAGTAATTGATCTGCTGTGGTGATTCAACAGTTGCTATGGTAACACAACAACTACAGTAATTAATCTGCTGCGGTGATTTTACAGTTGCTATGGTAACAACAACTACAGTAATTAATCTGCTGTGGTGATTCTACAGTTGCTATGGTAACACAACAACTATAGTAATTGATCTGCTGTGGTGATTCTACAGTCGCTATGGTAACACAACAACTACAGTAATTAATCTGCTGTGGTGATTTTACAGTTGCTATGGTAACACAACAACTACAGTAATTAATCTGCTGTGGTGATTCTACAGTCGCTATGGTAACACAACAAATATAGTAACTGATCTGTTGCGGTGATTCTACAGTTGCTATAGTAACACAACAACTACAGTAATTAATCTGCTGCGGTGATTTTACAGTTGCTATGGTAACAACAACTACAGTAATTAATCTGCTGTGGTGATTCTACAGTTGCTATGGTAACACAACAACTATAGTAATTGATCTCTTGCTGTGATTCTACAGACGCTATGGTAACACAACAACTATAGTAATTGATCTGTTGCGGTGATTCTACAGTCGCTATGGTAACATGACAACTATAGTAATTGATCTATTGCAGTGATTCTACAATCGCTACGGTAACATGACAACTATAGTAATTGATCTATTGCAGTGATTCTACAATCGCTACGGTAACATGACAACTATAGTTATTGATCTGTTGCAGTGATTCTACAGTCGCTATGGTAACATGACAACTATAGTAATTGATCTGTTGCGGTGATTCTACAGTCGCTACGGTAACATGACAACTATAGTAATTGATCTGTTGCGGTGATTCTGCAGTCGCTATGGTAACATGACAACTATAGTAATTGATCTATTGCAGTGATTCTACAATCGCTACGGTAACATGACAACTATAGTTATTGATCTGTTGCGGTGATTCTGCAGTCGCTATGGTAACATGACAACTATAGTAATTGATCTGTTGCGGTGATTCTACAGTCGCTATGGTAACATGACAACTATAGTAATTGATCTGTTGCGGTGATTCTACAGTCGCTATGGTAACATGACTGTAGTAATTGATCTGCTGTGGTGATTCTAGTCGCTATGGTAACACAACATCTACGGTAATTGATCTGCTGTGGTGATTCTACAGTCGCTATGGTAACACAACATCTACAGTAATTGATCTGCTATGGTGATTCTACAGTCGCTATCGTAACATGACTGTAGTAATTGATCTGCTGTGGTGATTCTAGTCGCTATGGTAACACAACATCTACGGTAATTGATCTGCTGTGGTGATTCTACAGTCGCTATGGTAACACAACATCTACAGTAATTGATCTGCTATGGTGATTCTACAGTCGCTATGGTAACATGACTGTAGTAATTGATCTGCTGTGGTGATTCTACAGTCGCTATGGTAACACAACATCTACGGTAATTGATCTGCTGTGGTGATTCTACAGTCGCTATGGTAACACAACATCTACAGTAATTGATCAGCTGTGGTGATTCTACAGTCGCTATGGTAACACAACATCTACAGTAATTGATGTGCTGTGGTGATTCTACAGTCGCTATGGTAACACAACATCTACAGTAATTGATGTGCTGTGGTGATTCTACAGTCGCTATGGTAACAACATCTACAGTAATTGATCAGCTGTGGTGATTCTAGAGTCGCTATGGTAACACGATGACTACAGTAATTGATCAGCTGTGGTGATTCTACAGTCACTATGGTAACACAACATCTACAGTAATTGATGTGCTGTGGTGATTCTACAGTCGCTATGGTAACATGACTGTAGTAATTGATCTGCTGTGGTGATTCTACAGTCGCTATGGTGACACAACATCTACGGTAATTGATCTGCTGTGGTGATTCTACAGTCGCTATGGTAACACAACATCTACGGTAATTGATCTGCTGTGGTGATTCTACAGTCGCTATGGTAACACAACATCTACAGTAATTGATCAGCTGTGGTGATTCTACAGTCGCTATGGTAACACAACATCTACAGTAATTGATGTGCTGTGGTGATTCTACAGTCGCTATCGTAACATGACTGTAGTAATTGATCTGCTGTGGTGATTCTACAGTCGCTATGGTAACACAACATCTACAGTAATTGATGTGCTGTGGTGATTCTACAGTCGCTATGGTAACAACATCTACAGTAATTGATCAGCTGTGGTGATTCTAGAGTCGCTATGGTAACACGATGACTACAGTAATTGATCAGCTGTGGTGATTCTACAGTCGCTATGGTAACACGATGACTACAGTAATTGATCAGCTGTGGTGATTCTACAGTCGCTATGGTAACACGATGACTACAGTAATTGATCAGCTGTGGTGATTCTACAGTCGCTATGGTAACACGATGACTACAGTAATTGATGTGCTGTGGTGATTCTACAGTCGCTATGGTAACACGATGACTACAGTAATTGATCAGCTGTGGTGATTCTACAGTCGCTATGGTAACACAACATCTACAGTAATTGATGTGCTGTGGTGATTCTACAGTCGCTATGGTAACACGATGACTACAGTAATTGATCAGCTGTGGTGATTCTACAGTCGCTATGGTAACACGATGACTACAGTAATTGATCAGCTGTGGTGATTCTACAGTCGCTATGGTAACACAACATCTACAGTAATTGATGTGCTGTGGTGATTCTACAGTCACTATGGTAACACGATGACTACAGTAATTGATCAGCTGTGGTGATTCTACAGTCGCTATGGTAACACGATGACTACAGTAATTGATGTGCTGAAGGATTCTACAGTCGCTATGGTAACACGATGACT